GTAACTGCAGATAACTGGCAAAGATGTATACATCATGTACAAAAAGAAGAGGAGAAAATGTGGGAACTCGATAATTTAATTGACGTTACTGTGGAACCTATCGTTATCAATCTAGGAGACGAAGATAATTCATCAGAATATTCAGAGGATGAATTTTAATATACCTACTTTTTTATTTTCTTTATTGTACATTTATACAACACTACATTTACTCACCATAATTTGAATTTTCAAAATACATATATTTTTGTGTGGAATAAAAGTCTATTCATTAAATTTAAATAAATATTTTGATAATAATATTGAATAATTTTATTTGAATTACTAAAAACCCTCTTAACCCGGTTATGATGCTTAAAGTAGCCTCATGTTTTGAAATACTGTTTTTATATTGTTTACTTATAAGGGAAATGGACCGAGAAATTGAAGCGGCATAGACAAAGACGGATTGTCGGGGATTAAATTTTAGCTACCTGCTACAATTTAGTACAACCCGGTCACACAGTTTTTTTAAAAGTACACCTCATCTACACCGAAAATACATAATATAAAAATATTGAATATAAGCACCAGTACTACATTTATATACGATTTGCATACATAATAAGCTTTTATTACGCTCTTTCATTTGTAAACAGACTATAATCAATTTCTCAATCATATTTTTCATTCATGTTGTACGACTTACCCTAAATTCGTAAGCAAATCATACATGTGTGATGTGTCGTAGAAGGGTATGTCATTTAAACGAAAAGCTATCTTTAAAACTGGCTTGATGTTTTCACCCAGCCAGAAAGAAACTGCTGCTTTTCTATCCACCGTATTCAAGTCAACATTTTCCATAATTTGCCGACAATTGTGATATACATTTAAATTATACAAATGGATCTGAAAAAAAAAATAGTTTTTAATTTTATTTCAATATATTTAAATACATTTTTTACCTGCTGGCAGAAGTTGAATAAATCTTGTAATCTGATTGCCCTATAGCGTACTAGAACAGAAAAGATACTTTTATTTTTCCATTTCAAAGCAAAAGGTTTGATGAATATGAATTCTTCTTCTTCTAATGGTTCAAACATATCAGAAAGTTCCTTACGCCTGGTAGATTTTCTGTAAGCTGACAAATATTATTTAACATCGAATAACATTAAAATTGAAAAACTATACTCCACGGTAGAAATTATAGAGAGTGATTCATCGCTAGCTTTTGGACTAGTAAGGGAGATGAAGCGTGCCGGGAACGAAAATCCATTGGCGTGTCTGCGTAAAAGGCAACAAGATATAGAAAATAATGAAAAAAGATAATAAAACCTAACATCTAATATTTTTTACGGTTTGCTATAACAGGCACTTTGATCCATTTTAATTATAACAGCATTTTAGAACGTCCCAATTGTGTTTTTTTAATTTATAAATTTATTATAGCCATGGAATTAGACCCCTCGTCTACGCTTATGCTATGACGTTTCTCAGGACGGGTTAAATCAAGTCCATTTACACCCACTAAAAAAGCATTTCCCTATTTCCTACCAAGTGCAAAAGACAGAGATAGAATATAGATCGACGTTCAGTGTAACTCGGTCTCTAGACGATTATAGATTCTATCGATGTGCGTAGCGAGCGGCACAAAGATAAATAATATTGAACCGTATAAAAATCATTTTATATTTTATACGCATTATGGTAATAATGTTTTTAAATTATGTCTTAGTCACTCTCTATAATTTCGACCGTGTAGTAATTTATATTTTATTAAACTATAACATTTTTAATTTTTCTCTTTTGATAATCATTTTTACCTTTTTGAATAATTTCTGCTGCTTCTTCTTCTGTCATTATGCTGCTCCTTCTACGTTTCTTGATTTCTTGGACTACAAATTACATTAAAGTAAAAATATATATATTACAAGGTGTGCAGAAGCGACCGAGCTATATTTCAAGTGTAGTTTCCTTGTTACAGTCCTTTAACAATCATTTTCTTGGGATAATTTCGTCAATTCTGAAGACTTTTCAAATTGATATTTTCGAGTTTTTAGGATAGATGTAGATATTTTTTACTTAAATAAACATAGAGATCACTAAGAATACATTAAGCAGTTTTTTTGCTATATTTCATTGGTAGAGATTTTGAGAAAACGGATTTTTGTAACGTAGTTTATATACTCATTCACTAATTTCAAAAAAGGTGTCACCAAAGAAAAAACATGTACAACATTTTTTTAAGGCCCGTAATGATTTAAAAAAGGTGACTTGATGCAATTGATTTATTTTCTTTCGGGGAAGTTGCCTTTGAAGAATGACCTACTCGTACAGGTACTACGTAACGATATAGGCTTTAATTAAATATGATTCACAGCGTGATTCCTGAAAATATGTTTTTTGAGGAAACGTGCTGAAATGAAATATTACTCTATTTAAATAATGAAAATTTGATTAGTTTAAGGGACAATGATATACTGGTTTCGCTAAGAACACTAACTTGTCACACAAGGTTTAAAGTTCGATACAAATTAATTTAGGAATGAGAGGACTTTTACGAAGTCAAAAAATTAAACTCTAATAATAGTTTTTTTAATTAACTTTTTTTATTGTTACTTATCATAGTTATATTGATTGTGGGTGAGATGTAACCTACAAAGTATGTTACATCTGCTCTGTGACCTACAGCCACGGCCAGCATTGAATTACATTATACCAGACATAGACCGACTTAGAACTTATTAGTTCTTATTGGTATGTCTATCTACTGGCAAACTGGTCTGGAGCTTCTGCTGACGAATGATCTTAGCTGTTTATTAAATATTGTGGGTGAAATTCTGTGCTGGACGGGGCCGTAGTCCTCAGAGTAGTTGTTCTCATAATAGCAAAAGTTTATTTCGTCTAGTCGATATAGCCATTATTTAATACTACCTACTGATTAGTAGGTCGCTCTCTTCCAGTAGGTGATAGGAAACGTTATATCTCACCTATACTTAAAACATGTTGTGCGACAGACAACAGCTATGCATTTGTCGATTATTTCACTTATGATATACTGATGAGAATTAATAAATTCGAAACCGGTCTAGGTCTAGTGATTATGTTTACTAAATACCACGGTTCAATGATGGACGGGGCAAATCAACAGAGTAGTTGTTTACTACAAAATCATTACAATCCTCTCAATATTAGATAATTATTTTGGTTATCCATTATTCCACGTATATGTACAAGGTCGCTGATATGTATGGAAAAGTTCGATTATCTAAAATGTATTATAATAGAGAAAAATTGCGTATACAGGATCAGTCAATGAGTCATGACGAAACAAAGATGCTTTTTCTTTAATGGGACACCCTGTATATTATTCTATATTTCAATTATTCTCGAAATTCTAAACAAAATTCATATATAGCAAAATCATGTACCTAAATTTACCGTTTTCGAGATATCGAATTTTGGAAGTAACTTTTTGCTACTCTTAAATATATAAAAGAAAAAGGGCCCGAAATTATGGATATTTATTTTGAAAATAACACAAGGTGGAGAATATGGATATGATTTAATTAGTTGATTATTTTTTTACAGAAAATAAAAGAGCATAATAGTTCAAGGTTAATAAAAATATATTAAACGATAAATGTATTTTTTAATGAATATCCTGGATATTTTAAATTTTATGAAAGCAATAGTAGAAGAATAGAATAGAAAATGAATAGAATAAAAAATAAAGAATATAAGAAGAGAGAATTTTATAAGGTGCTCAGTGTTCACCATTTACCTCCTGATAGTAATGAATTCGCTGAACAAAATTTTGTAGTGAATTTAAAAGGTTGTTTGGAGGAATAGTGGAAATTTCCTTTCCTGCAACTGCGCCCTATTTTGGCCTAAGTAATCTCGCATTAAACGGCGTCCTATTTTCAAATAGAACACCCTGTATGCAAATCCGATTAAATCAAAATCAAAAAACATCTTTATATTTTATTACCAGTTGTATTAACGTGAGATAAATAAGAAATTAAGTGGAATATGTCATTGTGCTACAGGATAAATATAAAATATAGAAAAATGAGGATTTGTTCCCCCTTTTTTGTTCCCCCTTTTTAGATTAATTAAAATTGTGTCAAATTCTAAGACTATTAGAATAGGTATCTGTATCTGAAGAATATTTATAAAAGAAATGAATTATTATCATCTCAAAATAAAAATTTACATAATCTCGGCAATTTTATGAAAACGTTAATTGGAATAATTCTTAGAAGGTCAATTAAAATAGTTAATAAATATGACAGTACATGTCAGATTTAAATTTTCTATTTTTAGTACAATTTAGGTTTGTTACTGAAAAATTATATACTTTAATTTTTGCTATAACTTGTATTTATTAAAATAATTTATGCGAGTCCAAATCTTATGTCAGTTATAGGTTACCAGAAACGTGATGTGCATTCACAAACATAAAAACAACAATAAGGAATGAAGCAGGAGCACATTTTAATGTGTTTCTTTTTAATATATGACTACAATTAACATTTTATTTTAAGGAAACTTGACCGAATTGTTTATGATACCTTAATAAGGAAATTTGTAATAATAAATTTAGCTTTAATACTATTTTTAATTAGGTAGATACTTACTGCATTCTCTTTCTTGATCTTTAATTTCCTTAGCAAGTCTACACTTGGCAAGAAATCGTCTAAGGATACTTTGGATTTTAATAATTTTCTTAACTTGTGTTTCGTAGAGTCGAGAAAGGTATTCCTCATTGTAGTACTTTAGGAATATTTTGGTCTTACCTAGAGCCCATCCTTCCATTTTTAAACGTACCATTAATAAGCGACAATTATCTCTAGTTAACTCAACATTCTCTTCGAAATCAAATGCCAAAAATTTGTACCTGTAAAGGTTTTAAATAATATACAGGGTATTAGAAGTTTGACTGCCTTAATTTTAACAGACGATAGGATACATTAAATTGAACAAAAAAACCTTATATGACATGGATTCTAAACTCAACCATTTCCAACAAAAAAATTATCAAAATTTCCAACTTGATGTACAAAAGTTCGATTTATTAAAGAATACCGACATAACTGCGTTCATAAAATACCTTAAAATACAATGTTTATCACTTTTTTGAACTTCTTTATGCTTAATTCTAAAAAATAATTAGCGTTGTAATAAATTTAAAATTCGATAAAATTCATATCGAGCAATGTGACAACGGTGCGGCGGATAATACGAGGTACTAAGCTGTCCAGCAATACGCAATGCAGTTGGTATAGTCTTTCCGATCTCAAATGAAGAATCAAGAGGTCGGCAGTATGAACTAGGTTCGGTCCTGATGCAGCAACTCGGCATTGAAATATTTGAAAAGACTTGTTTCCATATTTATTTAGCCTTACCCATATACAGGTCTGGTCGCCCAGTTGAAGAATGAGTACGCGGACAAACGCGGCACAAACACAGCCGCACTGGGCTACTTGGCCATAAATTCAGTTGTCAACAAATGGCCTAGCAGAGCAGTAGCAGTAGAATATGGTGTGATTCACGTAATTTTAATTTATTACAGGAACCTTATATTAATCATTTATATTACAACTGCGAAAGAGAGAAATAAGAGGGATATTTGGTTTACTAATATTATTACAACATGGCATTTCGAAGATCTTTTGAAATGGAATAAAACGAAATTTACCATCAATATACTCGTAATAAAATTGTTTGAGGACATAAATAATTAAAATTTGTTGTTGGTCAAAATAACATATAGGTAATACAAATTTTCTACACATTACATACACAAATTATTATAATTTTTTAACTTTAGCGGAAAACTCTTTTAGGGTATTTTAAAAACTGTTAATCTTACGCCCCTGTAATATACAACTTTTTTGTTCATTTATGATTACTCTATCTCATGCTGAAGTAATAACAGTCAAACGTCCTCCACCCTGTATAGGTGAGTACCTTAATATTAGTTTACAACATGAAACTCAACCTTTATATCCCTATATTAGTAACATCGGAATAAATTTACCATTTATAGTAAACAGACAATCCACAAATAAAATATCTGTATGAATCAAAACTTTTAATCATAATATTCACTGCAGTTTCGTATAAACAGTATTTAGATAGGTAATCTTAATTTTTTAATGAAATTCAAAATAAAAATTTCGTTTTTAAATAAAATAAAAAATCGTCACTGCAAATGCATCTGATTTTAGATTTAAGACAACTGTAAATTTGAAGAAAATATATTACAAAGAGTAATAAACAAACATAAAATCGATTGGTGCACTAATTTAATCGAAATATAAATCACTTTCCAATTTAACAAATCAGGAATAATCCTTAAACTGTTCGTTACAAAAAAACATAGGACCGGTTAGGATATAATTTTAATTACGATGTAATTATTAAAATTCCGAAAAAGTCAGTGGCGTAGAAATTTATCCCTTGCTATACTTCACAAAAGTTAAGTTTTACACCAATATTTTTTATTTTTAGTGACTGTATTGCATCAAAAAATTTAATTTAGTTTAAAAAAAAATTAGAAATGTTTAATATTTTGAATAAAATATAAGAAATGTATATTTCTTAAATATAATTGTGAATTAAATTAACTTCGAATCGAATTTTAAAAATACTCAGATACGTCGAAATTTTGAAGTTCTTAATAAAGCTGTTACCCAATATCTTCGACACGGGTTCGAGATAGCATGTGATGTTCCTCAAAAAATTAAGTATCCTGTAACTAGCAAATGAAATTAAGATATATTTGACAGAATTATAATATTTTGCCCTCAAAATTATTTAATAGTATTTGTGCCCTTTCATTTAAATAAAGTCTGAATAAGCATATCAGCGTCTTTATCTTATCCATGAAAAAAACTATACTAAATTCCTTCAGGTTGATGTTGCAGCAGAATAACTAACAAGTTAAACGGACTAAAACAATACTTGAGCCTGACGATGGACAAATCAATGCACTTTCATAAACTTCTCACAAATATAATCCAAAAAGCGTACATCATCGCTACAAAATTATATCCGCGAAAATAGAGGAAATTCTGTCCACTGAGAATACATTAATACTGTACAAAATAATGACCTGCTTATATGATTGTCTTGCATGGCACAATATGCATATGTCGTAAATACAGGAGAGAAGATTGTAAGTCACAAAAACTAATTATTACGACTGTTCACATACATCATCACTAGGCGATACAAGACAAATACTAACCGTAAACTAAAAACAAAGTAATAAATATCTAGAATCAGGTTTCCCCATCAGTTTTCATAATATTTCAGCTACTTAAATCAGAAACATTCAAAATTATTAAATTGCTTTGCACTTGTTATCTCACATTTCGTCATAGTACCAATAAAATTCACTGAGAGATCAACGGTCCTACATTGGTTCTTTTCCAAGAAAAAGATGACGTAGTAACTAATACACGATGTAGTAACATGCTAATCTTTTGCAATACCATCGAAACACCTGAAAGTTCACTCAAAAAGAGTAGGTACTATTGTTACTAATATAACAGGTACGCTGCACATCTGAAATTTGAAGTGTCGCAATATCCATCGTATTGTGTCGATTTGTCTTAATGAGGCTCCCATAAAGTCAGAAGGGTGATATTGAGTTAATTGAGATGGTGCAAACTTGGTCAAAAGCTACACCAAAAAGAACTATACCCAGTTTGCACAGTTATGAAACATATGAATGAAGAACGAACCCTTTAAAATGTATGAAGAAATTAGTTTCAACAGATTACTTAAAATCTGGTGGTTGTACGGACTCTTTATTGCGCCGCAAGACAGACAGTGTGGTGACGTAATGTGTAACTGCTTATACTTCCACTTATGAGCCTTAGTTAGTTAAATCTTAGTTAGGAGAATCAATATATGGAAGAGAGCTTTTTGCAGCTTATATCAGAAGCTTAGGGGATTAAATAGATAGACCGAAATATCGAGTTTGCAGATTCGGGTTTTCCATTAGCCATGATGAATTTTGAAAAGTTCGACCCAAAAACTCATAGAACCGTCGATTAGATTACTCAGGACACTCAAATGTTTAAAATATCTACTTAGACGATAACTGATGCATGTTACTGGTACATACTACGGACGGCTATAATTATCAGACTCATTCTCCAAGGGTGGGTCATTTGAACTTTTTGATGCTCTCTCAATGTTCTACAATTTGGACTAAGTTTCATTGCTGCTCTCTTGGGACCCACTGGATATAATTCTTTGTAAAGATCAATCACAACCTTTTAGGCAGATAGACTATATCAAAAAATGAGGCCAACAATTTATATAAGCACTCTTACAACAATGTTATTTAATGACTTCCTTGTACCTACTATCGAGCTTTTGAAGTAACCTGACGTCTCTGTTTTTTAAATTACTATATTCTGTTTAATAAAGCATTGAAAACGTTTTCCAAGTTTCTATTACAAATCTCGTTTCAAAATATTATTATTAGTGATATGCCCTTATCTGCCAGTACATACTTTAATTTTTAAAGCTTAAATGCAGTAAATTATTTTTCTACCTACCTTCTTAAAAACTCGGAAAAAGATATCCTATGTGGATAGCCTAGTTGTCTCATTTTGGCTGTCTCTATTAGGGTAAGAGCTCGTAGTTGCTGTCGTAGTAATTCCTTTTGTAAAGTTAATGGTCTTCTGTTAAGATCTGTTCTAATACATTCCACAAAATGTGTCCCTCCAGAACCGCTTCCTATAGACAGCTCTTTAAAAAGATCAAGGCATATTGCTCTGAATATAGTTGCCTGAGTACGCATTTTCTTTATCTGAGAAAAATGATTTTTACTTGATAACTGAAACAGAATATATCCATGTATTACTGTAAAACCTGGTTTCAGTATAAACTAAAATTACATAGACCAAATAACCTACTGGATTTTTGGCAATATGTAAACTAAACTAATATAGTGGATCGTCTGGCAAAGATAACGTCTTTCTAATACTAGGTTAGGTTAGTTTAACGCCTAACAGTTCACAGCTCAAGATAATATAAATACTTATGGTTTAGATTAAATAATTCACACTAGGTTATTTTAGTTTAATCTTAATTCAGGAAAATCTGGATTCGTTGACAGATCATTGGTTATATTACTAGTCTGGCATAGGTAGAAGTGTAGTACCTTTTCGGTAAAAGCGTATTTGATTTTCTTAGCCTTTTCCATAGGAATATATAGATTTCCACATTTTTCCAATTTGTTAGTGAAAAACATGCTAATTGCACAGTTTTGCGAATTTCTCATCGTGTCGATTATTTCAGGTGGAAGAAAATCTCTGTTTTTCTCTGGCATATCTTTTACGTTGTAAGAAACTGTTCCAGTGTAATGAGTTACAGAGAATTTCAAAGTATCATAGACCATAATTTTAGTTTTTTCTAAGTTCTGAATATTGCCTGAGAACAAAATCATGTTGCAAGTCTCTAAACAAAGTAGGGTAGACCGACGTCGATTGTAACAAAACTAATTTGGAATATAATAAATAAATAATTCATTTTCTCACTCTCACTCACCTGTAATATAACTGCCACTATAACCTTTTCTTGAAGCATCATCAATAATTGACAAAACGCCCTCCGGTTTTCCTAAAAGTTCATTTAAGGTATCCTTGTTGTTAAAATAATTTATAGGTGTGTATTTCACCTCTTCGTTTATTAAATCCATGATTTCCCAAGAAAACACCCTCTGCAGGAAGTGATAATGTATTTGCTCATTGAAACAGTTTACGAAAAATTGGGACAAATGATTTTGTTTAAAACATTCGAATCCAAAATAATCTAGAATTTTTATATGGTATTTTTCACCACTGAAATAAAAATCATTCTTATTCTTCTTTTCTGAGAAAAACGTCTGTATGCATAAATTTATATTATTGTTGCTAACTTTTTGACATATATATACTGTGTGCAGGTAATAGCGACGTTACGGCAAACTTTCAAAATTAATTTAAAAAAAAACAGATGTTAAACTTTTCCTTCAAATTGTTCCTAAAAGGTCTACAGATCATTAAAGATTGGATGTGATTTTAATAAACAATCTCTCAACAACTATAGTCAAAGACATTTCATATGGTACAATATTGTTCTTTCATAGCAGAAAAATATTTCAACAAAAACTAGTCAGTGATATCGGAATTAGAAGGAGTATGAATAGTTTCAGCTATAGAAAAAAAGTTAACTGGTTTCGTAAATAATCTTGTACTGATTAAAAGACTATTTCCAGTTATAATGTTTGCGCCTTTTGAGCTTACTTGCTTGTGAGATGGATAATTTAACTTTTTACCAACTTGTAATTGTTCAGAGATTAGAAAAATTACCTTTTATGAATGATCAACCGAGCTGTTCACATTGTCAGGGCTGTTGGACATTTACGTGTGTTCTACTAAAACACTCAAGAGACACAAACACTTTCAGTAGAAATTGTCCATTCATATTTGTAGAGTCTTCTAATTCTGAAAACACTGGATAGTTTTATTCAAACTGTATATGTAAATAGCTACTAGCTGCAATATGCTGAGTTTGTAGTTTACATCTTCAAAAGTTCTGGAGTAATTAATCAAAAACTGAATATTTGAAGAATTGTAGAGCCCTTACGAGTTGCTGTATATGTTCTTCTTTCTTTTGACGAATTTGACTCTCAATTGTTCAACATTTTTAATAAGTATCTACACTATTTTTTATAACACAAATAGTAAATGATTAAAGAGTTAATACTCACAAAATTTCTTTTCCTAAAGACAACTTTCTGTTAACAATGCTTACTATGTAATCCACTAATCTCGTATATAAATTATTTGCAAGCACATCTCTAGTATCGCTTGCTTCGCCACAAGTATTTTTCTTCCTTATAGCTTTTCCTGCAACGATTAGGCAATAATTCGTCAAAGCCCAACAGATTTTCTTGTTATCAACCTCTAGTAGATGTGAAAAATTATGTATTGGTTCTTTGTTATCTATTTCTGCAAAACCCTCTTCATTCTCGTAAAACTGCACTTCTCCTAAATTGAGAATAGCAGCTATTACGGAATATATGGTAGACATTTCATCATCGGTAAATTGTAGTTCTTCCAAATATTGAACAATTTTTTGGAACTTGATAATGTTGCCTTCGGTATCATATTTAGGGAGCGTGGTCTTATCTATTTCTTCACGTTTTAAGTAACGGTAATCTCTGTTTGTATTTAACTTGTATTTTTCTGCTAAATTTGCTAATATTAGACCGTCAAGTATGTAATAGAAGAAGTGGAAGTTGCTTTGAGTTCTAGAAAATACATGTTATATTAGTAAATTTAATGTATTAAATGCAGGTAAAAAAGTTAAAATCGACCATAATAAGCAAATTTTTAGTCACCACCATTTTATTGCAGGTATTCATAACTAGATATTTAATTTTATTAATAATTGCTGAATATGGTGAATTTATTATTTCTTTATTTGTAGATATATAAAACATATTCAGGATTTAGCATTAATTGGCCAAACTTGAAACTTGAACTAATTCGAATGTACAACATAAGAAAGACCTTTTCTGAAAGGATGTTCAGGGCGTTGAGATAAAAAAAAAATTGATCATAACCTATATCTCGAAAAAGAAATACCCAAATACCCCAATTTTTTCATGTTCAAAAGCTCTCTTTTTTCTAATAAACTTTTATTAGAGAAATTTTTCTATATTACTTTCCGTTTAAAAGTTATAAATAATATCGTTCTAAAGAGTCTCAAAAGAAATAACTCCTAAAAATCACATTAGCGGTAGAAGGATCAAGTAGTCATTGGAAAATAATTGAATGTTCATTGTTTAAAGTGCATAAATGTCATTCAGAATAAACAAAAGAATTAAACTCGATAATTCTTTAATACAGTTAAAAAAAAGGTGATGATAACAACAACTAAACTTAAAAAATGAGGCACATGCTTTGATACTACATACATATTATGATCTATATGACCTCCTCTCATTATTCCAATATACATATCAAATCTTCGCCTGACTTCTTTGTGGGCTACGTTTATTAATATTTCGCCGTTCAACTCATTACAAGTGTTTGTGATTTTTTCTTTCAAATGATTAATAACTCGCGAAGGTGTTTTGTACACCTTATTTTTAAAACTCCCCATAAAAAAAATCCAGGGGTGTTAGATTTCGTGACTTTCCGGGCTACTGAATAGGCCCATTAAGCCCAATCCATTTTTCTGGGAAGTGTTATCTAAATATTGCTGCACAATGTTGGCCTTATGGGGTGGAGTCCCGTCGTGCTGAAACCATAGGTTTCTCCTTAACTGCAAAGGCACGTCCTCCAGAAGTGCAGGAAGTTATTGATGTAGGAAATCTAGGTAACTCACGCAGTTCAAAGTATGTTCATAAAAATAATGCCCAATTAAATGCCTACCGATGATGCCGCACCATACATTTACTCCAGAATAGCCTTGGTTTTGGACTAGATTTAAAATGTGGAGATTTTCGTTGCGCCTCTTTGGTAAACCATTATTGACTAACCGACTTTCGTCTGTCCAAAGAACGTGCCGTAAAAGGTTTTGATCAATAGTTTCTAGATTTACTACAATTTGAGCTACAAAATTAAGTCTGGTTTCAATGTGACGTTCAGCTAAATACTCCAAATTGTGTATTTTGGAGTCATGATACCCATTGGTTTTTAAAATTCGTTGAACGGCTGATTTATCCAAATTCAATTCCCTGCTGTATAGAATTTCGCGGATTTTGTTCGAAATACTGTAACAGTCTAGCTGTATTAACATTGTTAATGTTGTTCTGTCAATTATTTGATTTCTTCGAACAGGTCGCCTCCAATCTTGTAAAGGTTCTATGATCAGGAATGAGGCGTTCCGGATACTTCGATATAACTCTACAGCTTGAATTTTTTGTGACTCGACATAAATTAGCAACGTATCAACTTTTTCTGAATAAGAAAACATTTTGTAAGCACAAAAGTTATACGTTTGACGGTCGTATTGTGTAATGACAAGCATTTTGTGACATTTGTGCACTTTAAACAACAAACATTCAATTAATTTCCAACGACTACTTGATCCTTCCACTGTTAATGTGATTTTTAAGTGGTATCTTTTGAGACTCTTTAGACGATATTGCTTATAACTTTTAAACGGGAAGTAATGCAGAAAAATTTCTCTAATAAAAGTTTATTAGAAAAATGAGAGCTCTTTAACACGAAAAAAATTTGGGTATGTTTCTGGAAAAAATATAATTGATGACTTCATTAGTCGTTTCTGGAAAATCCCAAAGAATAATATTTTCTATTGAAAATGGAGCTTACCTCATCCCATTTAACACCACGTGTCCCAAATTTTATTTCAATTTTTTGTATCCTCACAGTAGGCCCATACTATCGAGTTTAAGACATTCTGTACTTTAACCCTCTGAATCCGAATCTACTGTCATAATTCAACAAGATACTCCTCTAGAAAACTGACTTGAATAGCCAGTGATTGGAAAAACAAGTATGCGAAACTCTGAAGAATTGAGTCTGTAGCTCTATTTAACTCCGTAATTCATTAAATACTGTGGGATACACTTGTTTGATCCATGGTACAATCCACTTTTTTTGTGTGGAATGGGAAATAAAAACATTGGATTTATGAGTATTAGGTAATGACATGGAATGAATTGTTTAATTGTTAGTTAAAATTAATAACCGTTAATAATTATTAAATCGTAAATATTAATATAAAAAATCGAAATTATGATGGCTCCAAGTCATAAACCAATTAGTGTTGTTTCGTAAAAATGAATTATGCAGTAGGCGAGTAACGAACTTACCTGTTATTTATTTAAATTGGAATGTTCTGCTGTGTTGGTCAATTTTTTTTTCTAAAACGTTAACATTCCTAAGTGTCTGCTTTTAAAAGTACACATTTTCTTTTTTGTTCCTCATTTTATAGAAACAAATATACAGGACGTTAAACAAAATGTGTATAAATTTTTAAAAGTAAGGAAACATAAGAAAAACATTTATATGACCATATATCCGGAAATTCTTCGTTTATGAGACATAGGGTATTGAAGTTATCGAAAAAAAAATTGATCAAATTTAGTACAGGTACAAAAATAGATCGAAAATACGAGCAAGAAAACCACAAGTGATTGATGGTGAAAGGATGGCGAATGATGTTCCTGTTAGAGTCGAGTTCGAAGGACAGGAATTGGAACCAGACACAATATTGAAGCGGAAAGTGAAGAGAGTGAAACTAAAACAGAAGAAGGTAAGGACGAATACGTACCGACTGATGAACAAAACGTCCAGATCCATCAGAAAGAGTTCCATGATCTGCGGAACTAAAAAGTCGAAGATTGGTAACACTAGTAACGTATCAACTTTTTACAGGAATCGTGAAAAGGAGTGTAAAAAGTTCTCCAATAAAGATGGCTTTTTTGGAATACTATACAGATGTTCGTAGTTTGATGAATAAATTAGAACGTAACGTTTGCAAATTCGGGGAGTGGAAGTTTTTCTCCGGCTCTTTGGAACAGAGCTCAAAGGGTAATACTATAAAATGGAAATAAATACATATGTTAAATACATATGTATTCCAACTACACAACATTAAAAGAAAGTTCTACAAAAAATTAAATATGCAGAATCAACGACGGATTCGGATTCAGTGTGTCAAAATACATATAGATAGTGTAATGGGACCTCCAAATCAGTCCACAGATTTTATTTTATGTACCTGTATTACTAATCCCATAATGACAATCTCTTCTACTAGGTATATCTTCTTGTGCGATCATTCATATACATACAGAGTGTTATTGAACTTATGTCAAATATTTTTGCCACATGGCCGTTATGTCAAAATGAGTTAAATGCACGAATTTATGATGAGTAAAATGTAATTTTAAAATCTGACTTACCTCAACATTGCAAGGAGCCACCTTTTGAGAACTGCTGATTTTCACAGATGTTCGATGTATCCACCATTTGCTTGCACACAAGCTTCAGTCCGACGTATCCAATTCGCTCGCACGCGTTGCAACATTGCCTCTTTTTCTCGAATCGTATTACAAGCTTCGGCAATGCGATGTCGCAGTTGGTCGATGTCACGAACTTCCGTGGAATACACAACACTTTTCATATATCCCCACAAAAAGAAGTTTAAAGGGGTGAGGTCCGGGGACCGGGGACAACTAGGTTACCACGGTTTAATCAGCGATCGGGAAAAGTAATGTTTATAAAGTCACTCACTCTCCGAAAAAAGTGAGCGGGGGCTCCGTCATGCAGTAACCGCATATTTTGCTGAACATTTAATGGCACGCCTTCCAATAACTCCGGCAAGCTATTTTGCAAATAATTTAGATATGAAGTACCGTCTAAGCGTCTAGGCAATTCAAAAGGTTCTATTAAAGTGTCATTAACGATACCGGCCCACATGTTCACTGAAAACTGTTGCTGAAAGGCACCGCGACGTATTTCGTGTGGATTTTCCATAGTCAATGGTGAGTGTTGTGGACTTTACGTACATCATTTCGTCTGAAACATGCTTCATCTGTAGCAAGTATTTACGCTGTAAATTGAGGATTTCCTGCATGTTCCTGAAGGAACCATTCGCAAAAATCTCGGCGTAGTGGAACCTCCTCAGGAGTAAGCGCTTGAACACGTTGAATATGAAATGGTACAACTGAGCTTCTCGTAATGTACGCCACACGACAGGATGCGAAATATTTACTTGTTGTGCTATATTTCTAGTGCTATGATGCGAATCTTCTAAAAATCATCTCCTCGACATTTAATATTCTTAGTGGTCGCCCTGGGCCACCGTCGCGACCTCGACGCGGTTGCACTACACCAGTGTCCAAAACTCTTTGCGCTGCAACAACAGCAACAAATCTGGTACACTTGACAAGCTCTGTGGACATTTTGGTTTGTTTTGCCATAAATTATGAGCATAATATTCGCGATTGTTAAATAAATGCGCCATTTTCAAAAGAAAACTTGAAAATACGGCATTAAATGTACTTACTCTCGAAAAACAGCACAGCAATCACTACAACAATGTATTACAGACTGACTTTCGAATACAGTCCGGCTTCACAAATGTAAGAAACCTACAAGCTCGTAAAGAGTGTTACAGAATTTCTTATAAGTACTCGTCGCGATAAAATACATGTATTTCAGCAGTTCCAAAACAATTTTAAACACATTTTTAATTTGCTTTTTTTTCTATAACCTTAAACTTCTGATACAAGTTTGTGACATCAGTTAACTCAGTTTCTGCTCCTTTTTTAACCCTTTTAATTTTTGACATAAAGTTCATTCATACGCTGTATATTTATGAGGGGTAACACAAACTTTACTAAGTTTTGTCACTTTGCATTCTATTTTTAAAATATCTTATTTTTTAAGTAACTCACGTGTCTGGTGATGAAATTCTCCATTTTTCCAATCCAAGCACCTTAAACTCAGCCCCGGTAAATTTTCCAGTTTTCCCATACGAAAAGCTAGTCTTGAATATCGCTCTCGTCGAATAGTCATTTGTAGGGGTGGAAGCATGTATAAGAGTGTGGATTAATTTGACCGCGCTCTTAATTCGATCAGAGTTTATACTAGCATTTTCGCCTAGATAAAGCAAATGATCTAGTAAATGTAGATAGTTCGTAGTTTTTCCAGATGCACTTTCTCCGATGAATATAACTTGTTGAGGTATTACATGGTGCAAAGCGTTTTGGTAAGCGGTATCGCCAACAGAATAAATATGTGGTGCGTTTTCTGATCTTGACTTGAAGTAGTATTTTTCATGAAACTAAAACATGGAAAAATCATGGAAAGCTGATATACTTTTCCAGATGTAAGGAAGAATTGGTCGAAAGGAGATAATCGGTTGTATTGGACATTGCCTGTTGGTTGGTAATTTATCAATAATAGATTTATTTGTTAAAATTAGAAGTACTGCTAAAGAAAATAATAGTTTCAATCATATATCAATTAATTATTAGAAATACATGCGCAGATTCCTCACTTTTTGACACAGGGTTCTGCCTCACTCTCGTTTGACCTTATGGCGTGCTAGGACAATTTTCTGCTTTAGAAATAGTCCTGGTTATGCACTTGATGACTATTAAGAAAATTATGACTGTATTAATCAGCTGCAAATATTTCTAGAATTTTATCAAATATATTTTCAGTATGAATAATTTATGTGGTTTTAGATAGAGAAGATGATGTGTTTTGATAGTTACTAGGGAATTTTAGTAAACCCTTTGTAATGCAAATAAACTGGAAAGCACGCACGCGCATTAGTCAATTTAGCACTAGAGACTGTTTGATGGGAAAAATATTTTGGCTTCGTTTATTTGATCACTTTTCATATACAGTGAGCGGTTAAATTATGGAACACATTCAATAAAACAATAGAACTTAAAAAATGTCGAGGCTCATCGATTTTGATTGATGGAGATAAACATTTTGTTGTCACATTTAATTCACAATACCCAACTAATGCATACAGTGACAAATACTAAAAAGTCATTGGATCTGCAATTGGGATTCATGTAGAGAATAAATTTATATCCTAATCTTTTAAAATAAATTTGATTTATTAGATATCTACCATTTAAATCTTGAATTTAAGAAGGAAAATAATGATCCCTAAGAATGTATTAAAAACAACTTTTTATTGTGAAATCCAACTAAAGGTGATTATCATTTATAAAGAGTCAATAACCTAAAATTTACACTCTTTACAGTTAAGTATAGAGATCTTTTTTACAACACAGAATAACAATTTTAAGCCGTTTTCTTACAATAAAGTAACTATTAAAAATGAAATAGCTTAACAATAAAACCATCGTCGTTTTTATTTATCTAATAAACGGTAAAATCTCTGGATATAATAATGATTTTTTTCATTTCCAATATTCAGATATTTTACCGTTTATTAGATAAATAAAATGACGATAGTTTTATTGTTACGCTATTTCTTCGGTTTTTATTGCTTTATACAGGGTGTCCCGTTCATGTTTCCAAAAAAGTCTAAGTTCCTCATGGAAAAATAATAGGGGTAGTTTATGTAAAGTTTTATTCTTAGACGCCCTGTTTTCGAGATACAGTGTGTTGAAGTTGTTACTTGCTATATGGTTTTCCTTAATTGTTTTTAAATCGGCTAAAGATAAAAATGTCAAAATTTGTACACGAGTAAACAGCAACTGTGCATTAAGAATAATGTGCAAACGGTTTCATTCTGAAAGGCAGTGTCGCCGATACAGGGAATCGAAGAAAAAATATGTTATAAGTTAAAATTTATTACATTTCTAAACGGTTCTGTAAACTCTAAAGGATACTACAAAAAAAGGTGTACTTGTGGAAATTCGGTAGCATGTACCATTTTCGAGAAAAATGGAGTTGCATTTTTTTGCTCACAAAGCGGCACAAGTACATTAACAAAATATTAAATTGAAAGAGGACCTTACCATTGAATGAGCTGAAAACATTTAGCTACCAGCAGTACATATTTGCATTTAAGACTATAATTTTAATTTCTTACGTATCATATGAAACAGTAAAATTGTAAAACATTTTATTAACTAAAAAAAATATTTTACGATTAAATAAATGTGCAAACTCGAAATACTATAGTAGATACTGAAATTGTCCCCCATTTTCTTCTATACAACGTTATTTTTCTCGAAAATGGTACCTGCTACCGAATTTCGACACCTTTTTTTTGTAATATGCTTTAGAGTTTACAGAACCGTATAGAAATGTAATAAATTTTGACTTTTATTTTTTTTCGACTGTACCCCTCCAATTGCCTTTAGGGGCCATCCATAAATTACGTCACACGAATTTTAGGACTTTTGAACCCCTCCCCCCGTCCTTGTCACAGGTTGTCACATTTTTATAATCCCCCCCTCCTGATGTGACGTCACACATTTTTTAAATTTAGGCATGTAATTAAAAAAAAACGAGAGGAAACAGCTATTTTCATTTTTTACTTTTTTATATTAAATAATCTAATAAAATCAACATCAAGTCCAATATTTCAGATAGCGAGAATGCTAAATTATTAATAAATATAGATCAAGTTCGTAGATTTTTATAGTTTTTTATTCATATCTAAATTTCGCGTTTTAGTATTTTAAATTTTAACATGTGACGTCACAAAACTTTTGATCCCCCCTGCCCCTTGTCACACATTGTCACATTTCGGTGATACCCTCCCTCCCCATTTACGTGTGACGTAATTTATGGATGACCCCTTAACGGCGACACTGCTTTTCAGAAAGAAACCGTTTGCACATTATTCTTAACGCACAGTGTTTACTCGTGTACAAATTTTTATCTTTAGCCGATTTAAAGATAATTAAGGAAAATCATATGGCAAGTAACAACTTCAACACACTGTATCTCGAAAACAGGGCCTCTAAGAAAAAAACTTTACATGAACTACGCCTATTATTTCCCATGAGGAACTTGCATACAAGTTTTTTTGAAACATGAATGGGACACCCTGTATATGAGAAATTGGAAGAGAAGACAAAACTTTTAATTGTAAATTTTCACACAATCTCCGTCGTGTTTGTAGTTAGACATTAAAATAGTCGATCATTTGTTGGTAATAAATTCAAAATCGGTACAAGTCTGGTGGTTGGATTGAACGAACAATAATAGTTGTTTGCTAGATATTGTCGTTGTAATTCATCGTTGGTCAGGACATTAGATAGTTAATTCCCACAATATAATTAGTTTTATAAAGTCTTTCGAAACAAACTGAAAGAACTTCAGGTTTGTTCAGTGTGTATTTAATATGTAATGGCATGAAGAATGGCTTTCATTTCAATTTCGATCGACCCGAAATTATTCAAATTTAATTGCTGAAATTTTAAACCTGATAAAATGTACCATGTGTAATTAAGGTATTTATTATTTTTTTCGACTCGATTACACCATTTCGACTTTCTCCTATCAAACTCTCAGTCTTAATGAGACGTTTTTGTAGTATTTGGTCTTATAATTATCTAAGAAATAATATAACCTACCTAAAAGTGTATTTATTACTCAATATCTTTTAGTACATTTCTCTACAAGCTACAAGTCAAAGACGTAAAAATACAAGGACAAGGTCATCCCCCGTTGAACCACAGTACTCCAAAATGGAATAACATGGAACCTAAGATTTAAATCAGAATTAGAAGTAAAGGATCTAGTAATTAATTCTACACTTTTAATATTCTCTTTCAGAAAATAGAGTAAAATATTATGGGCAACTTTTTTAATGAAAAAAAAAAAAAAAACGTCAATTATCATCTGCATCTCATGTGTAAATGAGGACAATGGTAGGTAAATTGTAGGTAGGTAAATGAGGTAACCGTGTAAAACATCAAATTTTGCTCAAATCGGTTAACTGGATTTTGAGTTAAGGAGAAAACAAGAAATAAAAAAAGAAACTTTAACCCCCTGTTACTATTTTTGCGACATTTTTCGTTTAAGCACCACTTGGGTTCTAGATTATACCCTTGAAGTATGTAACATTCGTTAGGTGACACCCTCTATAAAATAATCAGTGTGCTTTTAGATTATATACATGCACCGGTGCTTACTTGATGACTCACTGACAGTTGCTGAAATTTAAAGCTCATACTGATAATTATCGGATTCGAAATATTACAATAGGAAAAGTGTTAAAAAACAAAGAGTACTCTAGAAATATAAGAAAAATCATAGAACATAAATATCCGGAAACAATTCGTTTCCGAGATACAGGATGTTTTCGTAAAAAAATAGATTTTTCTTTATATCTCCCAAACAGGATGATGGTAGCAACACGAGAACACAAAATTTCACTTTTCTCTCTTAATAAATAATAATTGCTTAACACCGTTCCGTGAATAATATATTCCTTAAATTTTACAAAAATACTATTATTTTCTGTTGAAATTAGCACTAAAAAAAGGTGCATCTTGATTTTTATTGTTTGCTTGTATTGTAAAGTTATTTAATAACATAAAAATAATGTATATTGTATATCAATGCAAAAATGATACAGATGCTTTTTATACAGGGTGATTCTAAAATTTGTAGCCAACCTTATAGGGCAGAAACAAGAGGTCAAAATAGACTGTTTGAGTTTGAACTAATTTACCTAGATACCAAAATGAACCCTTAACAAGTTACAGCCCCTTAAAGTTGAAACAAAAAAATAGTAAAAATACAAATTTCTCCCAAATGACTGATGATATTTTTTTTCAAATTTGGCACAGGACCAATACTAATAAATAGCCATGTTTTGAAGATAATATCGATAAAATGAATTGACGGCATGTGGGTAATGTAGGGGTAGTCAGTTTGTGTTTCACCCTGTATTTTTTATACTCCATATTTTGATGGAGGTGCAGCATCATTTAACTTTAAAAAGTTTTTTTGTCTTGACATATTTTGATACGACTAATGTTAAACGTATCAAAAAAATTCAAGAGAAAAAAAAATTTTAAAATTAAATTATCTGTCTAATGATGCTGCAACCCATCAAAATATGGATTATAAAAAATACAGGGTAAAACAAAGAGCGACCCCTACATTATCCCATGCCGTCAATGCATTTTATTGATATTCACTTCAAAACATGGCTATTTATTAGAATTTGAAAAAAAAAAAAATTCAGACATTTAGGAGAAATTTGTAATTTTCCTTTTTTTGTTTCAACTTTAAGGGGATGTAACTCATTAGGGGTGCATTGTGGTATCTAGGTAATTTCGTTCAAACAGTCTATTTTGACCTCTACTTTTCATTTTCGAGCGCGAGCTC